TCTCCCCTCTTTTCTCTTTCTCTCTCTCCTCTTTCTGTTTCCTTCTCTCTCTCTCTTCTTCCTGCTCTCCTCTTCTGTTCTCTTCTTTTCTCTTTCCTTCTCTCTTTCTCTTTGTCTCTGTCTCTATCTCTGTTTCTCTCTGTCTCTCTCTCTGGCTGGCTGTCTCTTGTGTTCTGGGTACCCCAGTTGTTATTCCCTGTTCCAAGCCTACTGGGTAATAAATGACCTTCCCACCCTCTCCCCCTGGACCTCCCATAGCCCTTTGCCTCATCCTCCTCTGACATTACATTCTGGTGTCTATTACACGCTGTCTGTGTTTGCGTCTTATCCTTCTTTCTCTCCTCTGAGCTCCATAAGGGAGGGGCTCTGTCTTGTAAACTTTGTGTCTCTCACACTGTCCAATGTCAGATCCTGATATACAACAGGTGCACAGTACCCGTGTTTTGTTGTTATTGCTATAACATGCCCAGCCCAGCCCTCCCTGGGCAGAACATCCTCCCCCTACAGACATCTCCAAACTCTTCTTCCATGGGGACTCAGATCAGATGCCTCCTATTCCATGAAGCCCTCTTTGATTTCCCCCAGCTGAAAGTGATCTGTCCTTGAATTTTGTGAGAGCGTGTTGCTGTTGTCTAGTTTGCACTGATCTCATTCTCCCTAATATCATAGTTATTTATATACATGGAGTATCTTTTCATTAGATCATAAACTCCCCAAGGGCAGGGAGTGGGACACTTTTTGGTAGTTGAATCACCAGTATCTAACACTCAAAGGTGGATGGTCCTTCGAGTCCAGAGGTCAAAGACTTCCATTTCCGCCACCAAGGCTCTTGGAGCAGCTGTACCTGGAGTCCTAAGGTCTGTCTTGGGTCTGTTTCCTCAGAAACTGTGCCTGTGATCCAGTGTTGTGGGAATTTGGTCAGCCTTCTTAGTGGGGGGAGATCCCACACTGGCCTTGGCCCACAGCCCTGGAGAACAGCCCAATTCTGGGGTCACTAGAAAATCCAATTAGATTCCAGACCAGTTCATGTCATCCCAGCTGGAGTTGTCAGGGAAATTCCAAACTGGGACTTCCTGGGAATCCTTTGAATGGAGCTGAAGGCCCAGGGGGTTACCGGAGTCAAGACTTCTGGCAAGAGTCATCTCAGGATTGGATTAAATCTAGGTAGTTTAGCCAAGGAAGGAGTATGTGGGACCAGACACAGGGGTGGCTAAATTTGTCCAGGGATCTCAGGTTCTAAATTTGCTCTAATTCATAGAAAGACAGTATCATTAGATGACCTTGGAGATCCCAGGACTCCAAGGTCAGATATCTTTCCACAGCTCCATACTGCTTCCCATGTGGGGATTGATCAGCAGCAGACCACACCAACCAACATCTTATAATAAATGGAGCTCTGGCCAATGCCTCATTCATCCTGACTCCATAAGACCCATGGTGAAGCATCAGAGAGGTGATGAAATACAAGTGCAGCATGAGATGCACATGATCAACAATGGCCAGTGGAGTTCTAGGATCCTAGATCTAAAATAGGAAGGAACCTTACAGATGAGGACACCAAGGCCCAAAGAAATTAAGTGACTTGCCCAAGGTCACACTGGTAGTAATCTACTGGGATGAAATGTGAACCCAGATCTTCCTGATTCCAAGCCTAGCATCTCAGCTGCCATGATGCTGACATTTATGTGGCTTGATTAATAGTCAGCATTTATCTAGTGCTTAAAAAAATTTAGAAGGGCAGCTAGGTGGGGCAGTGGATAGAGCACCGGCCCTGGAGTCAGGAGGACCTGAGTTCAAATCCAGACTCAGACCAAACACTTGACACTTACTAGCTGTGTGACCCTGGGCAAGTCACTTAACCTCAATTGCCTAAAAAAAAAAATGTTACAAAGCAGTTTAAAAATGTCATCTCATTTGACCCTCACAACAGCCTTGTGAGGCTCACAGGGTCACATAGCTAGTAATTTTCTGAGACAGGATTTGAAACCAGGTTTTCCCCTATCTACTCCATCACATTTCTTACTGATATTGCTTAACTTGATTTCTTTATTACAGGGCAACATTCTCAGAAGGGGAAAAAACAAGGTAAATAAGAATTTTAAAAAAGAAAGGCAGAATATTGGATTTGTCAGAATCCCCAGGTTTGAATTCTTGTTCTGACACTTTTGTGTAATCTTAGACAATTAATTTTTCCGTCCTGGTCACAGTTTCTTCATCTGTAAAATGAGGGGATTAGATCCGGGGGGCTTCCTCCCAGCTCTTGCCCCTTAATCCTACCTACCTATCTACCCACCCACCCACTCCCCCATCCCACATGATTCCCTCCCTGGCTCTCCACTCTGGGCCCCTAGATTGAGGTCAGCAAGAAGACTGAGGGAGTGAAACCTGGTTTGTAAGGAAATCCCCCACCTCCCCCACCCTGCCCACATCCCCCACCATACAGCCGCCTCCTTTGCCCAGCTGCCAAGCACTATCTTGGCTCCTCATTGGCCTGGGCCCTTCTTAGGCACTCAGGTTTCAAATATATTTGTTCCTTTTAAAAGGCAGCCTGCCCTGTGCTGACTTTCCTGCCCACATACAAGGTTCTCTGAGACTGACATCAGTGGCGCTGTCTGCCCGCTAGCTCCCGGCCTTGTGCATCTCCCTGTCATCTCTCCCCTCCCAGGTCTCATTCATCTTCTCCAAGGGGAGGAAAGCACCAGGCCCAGACAGACAAATTGGTTGCAGGTCCTTTATTAAGACCAGGAGAGTCACACCCATTAACTGAGAGCATTCTCTTTCCCTCTCTCCCTCTTCCTCTCCATCCCTCCTTCTCTCTCTCTCTCTCTCTCTCTCTCCCCCCTCCTCCCACCCCCACCCCCCAGTGTCTCAAGTGTCTCCAACTTTTTCAGGAGCCATCTGTCAGAGCCGCCATCCCCAAGGAATGCTGGGGGCACTGGCTGTGACAGCCTTGGGGGAGAGAAAGAGAAGGAGGAAAGGAAAGACAGTCCACAGTTGAAGGGCTAATGCTAATCAAAGGCAGGAATGGAAGCCATTAGGGACCCAGATGGTGGGAATAAGGAGGGCTGAACCACATCACTCCCCCTTCCCTCAATTTTCTCTCTAACCCTTCATTTTCCCTGCCCAGTAAAGAGCAAACTGTCACTGCCTCCCAGAAAGGAAGCCAAGAGGTATATCCACAAAAGCACCTCCAGGAAAGATGGCCAGCTACCCACCAGTGCCCCAGGGCTCAGGTCTCCACCTTTGGAAGGCCAAGGAGAAAATGAAAGTTATGGACCTTTGGCAGAATTACTCTGGCCAGTTAGTAACAGATAAGAAGAATCCCCTCACCTCCTCCCTCTCTTCTTCCATCACCATGTCTCAGTCAGATAGGTTATCCCCAAACCCAAAACTAAGGTGCTACTTTAATAGAAGCTAACTACTTGACCCAGGGGGTTAGGCAGGAGGGATGGCAGCCAGTGGAGGAGTCTGACCACCATCTAGCTCAATCCACAGCCCGCTCTAGCCCTGGAAGCCAAACTCCTTGTACTTGGCCGCCATGTCGTTGCGGAAAAGTTCCAGAGCCTTCTTCATGGCAGCCTGGACATCCGCGCCGAAGTCCCCAGGGTGTTTGCTCTGGATCACTTGGATAATGACCTCTGAGATGAGCTGCCCAGGTAGAGCAAGTGAGAGAAAAGGGAAGAGGGTGTGGGGGAGAGGGAGAGAGAGAAAAGGAAAAGGTCATTGAGGGTGCATTACCAGCCAACGCTGGGATGGAAGCCTTTAGAGATCCAGGGGGTGGGAGGAGAGAGGTCTGCGGTGAGACCAACGGAATTCAAAGGGGAGGGAGGGGGAGCAGGGCCAGATGCTCTTATTCAAAATCTGGAGGGAGAGCTGAGAGTTGGAGGACAGAACAGGAATGGGGAAAGGGCCTCATGGGCAGGGTTCTCAGATTTCAGTCAGGACATATGGAACCAATTTTGACCAGAGGAAATGGGAGGAGGTTGGATGCTTGGGGAAGTTACAGACAGTATAACCTGACTTAAATATAGGACCAGACAAGTCCCAGCACTTGAGGGGCGGGGGGGAAGGGACAAGTCACCAACACCTATGCTAGATGGCACCATGGATAGAGCGTGGGGCTGGGGTTAAGAAACCCGGCACATAGTAAGTGCTATGATGTAAATGTTAGTTGTTGTTCTTGTTATTATTATTATTACTAGCTGTGTGACCCTATGCAAGTCAGTTGACCTCTCTAAGCCTCAGTTCTCTCATCTGTACAATGGAGATCATAATAATAGCCCCTACTTTCCAGGGTTGATGGGAAGAATTACATATGTAAAAGTGCTTTGCCAACCTAACAGCACCATATAAGTGCTAACTCCTATTAGACGTCGTGAGCACCCTGAGAGCTCTGGGGGTTTGGTGGTTTTTCTTTGTACTCCCAGTGCTTAGCACTTGGTGCTTGATACATACAAAGCACTCAAAGAGCTCAATCTGGACCTCGGAAGAAAGAGTTCACATCCAACACCTACAACCTGCTAGCTGCTGTGACCCTGCCAAGTCATGGCATCTCAGCATGACTAAGGGAAAGCACTGGGCTTAGAGACAAAAGACCTGGGTTCCAAACCTAGGTCTGCCACTGACTTTGGTTGAGTCCCTCAGTTTCCTGGGTTCTGAGTTTCTTCATCTATAATGTGAGGGGGCTGGACCAGATGCCCTCTAAGGAACCTTCTAGTTCTAAATCTATGATCCTCTGATCCATCACTCATTCATGCCTCAGTTTCTCCATCTGCAAAATGGGGGAAATAATATCTGCCCTACTATCTCCCAGGTAGGTTGCACAGTAGATAGTGTTGGACTTGGAGTCAGGAAGACCTGAGTTCAAATCCTATCTCCTCCACTTACCAGCTGGGTCCCCCTGGGCGAGTCACTTAACCCTCTCTCAGCCTCAGTTTTCTCATCTAGAAAATGGGGATTATTATAGAGCCTACCTCCCTGAGTTGTTAGGATTAAAGGAGATAATATACATAGCACACTTTGTAACCATTAAATCTCGGTATAAATGCTGGCTGTTATTACTTCATGGAATAGTAGAAATACTACTAGACCAGGATTCAGGACACCTGGGCACAATGGTCAGCTCTGCTACTGCTACCTGCGTGACCTCAGGCAAATCCCCCTCTGCCCTTTGTCTCATCTTCCTTGTCTGTAAAATGAGGAGGTTGGACCACATGACCTCTGGCGTCCCTTCTTGGCTCGAAAATTCTGTGCTTCTAAATATGTAACCAACCCAAATGGCCGGGCCGGTCCAGTGGCCCTAATTAAAGGGAGCATGTCTGGATGAGCACTGAGTCTTCTTTTCATGCTCATAAGGCCAGAAAATGAATCACACCTGCCAAAAGCCTGAGAATAAATAATATCTCAAAGACAGTAGGGCAGATATTATTTTCCCAATTTTACAGATGGAGAAACTGAGGCATGGATGAGCGATGGATCGGAGGATCATAGATTTAGAATTAGAAGGGACCTTAGAAGGCATCTAGCCCAGCCCCCTCACTTTATAGATGAAGAAACTCAGAGTATTTCAACACTTACAAAGCTTCTTAGCTTATCAGACCCTCCTAGGATTGGAAGGATGGATGATTGGATGGGTGGATGGATGGATGGATGGATGGATGGATGGATGGGGATGGATATGGATCTAGATATACGTGTGTAGGTATAGCTATGTACACACATATACACACATGTTTACAATATACCCACATATACACATACAATACACGTGTATGCAATATATATATATGACATACATATATACAGTCATTGCGTATACATATATGTATGTGTATAATAATTCTATTTTTATTTTGGATGGTGCTCTTATCGAGGAAGGTCAATACATCAATAGAGATCAGCACTTTCTCTGCAATTGAATCTTAGAGAGTGGCTTGGGGGGCACTAAAAGATTAAGGGATTTGCCCAGGGTCGTATGGTCAGTATGAGGCAAAGACGAGACTTGAACCCAGAGCTTGGTGATTCCGTGGCCTCTCTTAGGGCAGGTTTTCTCATCCTTATTTTACAGGTGAGGAAACAGGAGTTCAGGGAAGGGCAGTGATAGTCTAAAATCAGTAACCAGTCCCCCTTCTAGGGCATTTTAAGGTTTGCAAAGCACTTCCCTTCACAACAACCCTGCAAGATAAGTATCATCACTCCCTCCCCTTTGACAGATGAGGAAACTGAGGCTCAAAGAGAAGTAACTTGTCTGCGATCACACAGTGATTAAGTGTCTGAGGCAGGGTTCCTAGCTCGCTGCTCATGCTATTATGGTGGATGGCTTTCAGATGGGGACTTGGGGCTCCTGGGGAGAATTGTTGGATAGAATGAACAGATGGGCAGAATTCACTAGGGTTGTCAAACAAGTTGGTTCCTTCATTAAAAATTTAAAATTAAAAACAAACCCTCTGCCAACAGGTGGGAAGGAGAAGTAGCCTCACACACCAGCCTTCCTATCACGTCCCTTAGGAAATGGCTCTTGCCCCACAGTCCATTTCATCTCCAGCCCAAGGGCCCCCACCTGTCCAACGGGTTTCTAGCAATAAAATCCCTACGTCTCGCCATGCTAACTAGCTTCTCAGATGACTTCACGAGACTAGTATCGATTGCCTGTTGGGGACAGTGAGAGCCTTGCTGCTTCTCATTTGTGAAAACATTAAGCCTATTGGGTTAAGAACTCCAGCTCTGTTCACCTGGACCTGAAATCAGGCCCAGGAGAGATCTAAGAGTGTTAGAAACAAGAAGAGGCAGCAGGGAATATTGGTATTTGCACCAGACCTGATGTCAGAGGACCTGAGTTCAAGTTGGGCAAGTGGCTTAACTTCCCTGTGCCTCAGTTTCTTCATCGGTAAAATGAGAGAGGTAGAACTCAATGGCTTCTAAAGCCCCTTCTAATTTTAAGTCTATGATCCTGCAAAATTCTGACTCTGTCACTTGCTACTTAGGTGACCTCGGGTAAGTAATTTCAGTTTCCCCATCTGTAACGTAAGGCGATTGGTCTAAATGACTTCTAAGAAGAAAGAGTACATTGGAAAGAGTGTCAAACTTGTGGTCAGAGAAACTCTACCACTTTCTCCTTCTTTGATATTGGAGTCTGTGTGCCTCAGTTTCCTCATCTGTTAAATGAGGGGGTTGCCCTAGAAAATGGCCCTTTCCAACTTGAAGTCAATTGTCTCAATGTGAGAAACCTTTGTGTTGTGTGACGTTGGCTGCTCCTTCCCTCTTTCCCCCCTCCCTATGCTCTTTTCTCCATCCCTACAAGTCAGGCCCAGCTTCTGACCTCCAGGAAATGAACGGAGATTTTGTGCTTGGTGGCATGGGACTGGGCCAGAGGCTTCAGCTCTGCTTCATGGTGGCCCTTCTTCTTCAGGATGTTTCCCAGGGCGGTGAGCACTGTTCCGCCGTGTTTCTTAAGGTCTTCAGACGCTTTCATCTCATCCTCAGTCTTCAGGTGCTTAAATCTGTCAAACTTCTCCAGGGTCTCGGGGTGGCTCTTAAAGAGTCTGGGAACCAAAGGAGAGACCTGGCTCAGGGAAGAACAGGGAGGGCCATGGAGCTTGGGGAAGGCTGGGGGAGGCCACGGGAGGCCAAGGATCATGGGATTTCGAGCACCTTGGGCATCATGGAATATGGGTTCAGTGCCCAGCTGTGCTAGCTGTGAGCCTTGTGAACTTGGCAAGTCACAAGCCACCACTACCCGACCCCACCCCTGCTACCCTTATGATCGATTTCCTCCTCTAAGGGTCAATCTCTCTTTTTACAGATGAGGAATTGAGACCTCAAATACAGCCTTAGACACTCACTAGCTATGTGACTCTGGGCAAGTCCTTTCACCCTGTTTGCCTCAGTTTCCTCATCTGTAAAATGAGCTGGCAATAGATTTTATATGTGTGTATATATATATATATATGTGTGTGTATGTCTACATAATTTTATATACTGTATTTAATTTTCTATTAAATTAACTAGGCACTTAATACATGTGTGTTGATTATATTTAATGTGTGTATGTATATATGTGTGTCTATATGTATGTATATATTTATACCTAATTATATATATTGTATTTAATTTTCTATTAAATTAACTGGGCACCTAAATGTTTACCGATTGTATTTAATGTGTGTATCTATGTGTATGTGTGTGTATATATGTATAAAATTTATTTCTGTAAATGTTCCTTTCCCTGGAACATAGTAAGTACTATATGAATGTTAGTTAGTTGACGATGATGATGATGATGATGATGATGATGATTGTGATGATGATGATGATGGCAGCAGTCCAAGGCATGTAAAGCACTTCCCGACCCTGAGCTTGGCACACCAAAGGTTCTCATTGTTATCTTTGTGCTACTTTAGTGAAATGACCAAGTAAGTAGGTGTTGGATGGTATTTGTTGACTGGAATGTAGGGATATGTTCTATGTCACTCCTGACAGTCCATACACATGCTAAGATGGGCCTGTAAATGAGTCCCTCCTAAAGCTAGCCTGGAGAAGTTTTGTTGTCTATGTAATTTGTTAATCAGGCAACCAATAAGTATTTATTAAATGGCAATCGTGAGCCTGAAGCCATGCTGGGTCTGGGGCCCACCCTGGCAGACACCTGGTCATCTGACCAGGCCTGCAGCAGAGTCACCTTGGCCAGGAATGCCACTTGTCTGGTTCTAATCTCCCTTGGCATGTTGGGAGCTGTCGACGGCTCTGTGGAGAGGAGGCAATGGGCCTTCTGAGCAACCCCTCCCCCCGGGACTAGCTTGACTACGTTTTTAGGATAACGGGAGAAGAACAGGGAGGGGAAACAGGGATAAGGAGGCTTTGAGATTGAGGCTCAGTCCACTTTCAAGCCTACATGGAGCTGTAAGTAAAATATTTTCCCATATGGTGGTGGCAGGGGCACAGGGGAGAGTCTGGCTGAAGGTGGTGCCAGCCTAGAAATGGGCTGGGTGCCCCAGTGACAGGACCCTAGAAATATCAGAATCTAGAGCCCTGTGGTAAAAGGTGAGGGGACAGGGACCTCTAAATCACTTTGAGAAGGAAGCTCTCACAGATGGCAAAGCCCTGGGACAAAGACCCAGTTGCCTGTCCTAGTTATGGCAAACCCACAAAAGATAAGTTACATTTACATGGCATTACACAGATACAAAGTACTTTAGATGAATGATCTCAACTGATGCTTCACACTAATGGAGTCAAGAATTTGTTTCACCTCTTGCACAGTTACTTACTAGCTGTGTGACCTTGAGCAAGTCATTTCCCTTCTTCATTTCTCAAGCGGGGACTATAAGCCCATTAAAATGTGTAAACTCCTTGAGGACAAGTCTATCATCTTGTCTATCTGCCAAAGAGTATTTAGTATCATACTGGCACATAGAAGTACTTAGAAAGTCCTTGCTGGATTGAATTAGATTGAGGGCAATAATACTTATGCTATAATAGAATTCTTTGTCTTTTGGCTCACAAGAGCTCAGCACAGTCCCTGGGACATAACAGGTGCTTAATAATAGCTTGTTGATTGATTGATTATTGATACAATCTACAGTCTTGATGGGGTTGTCCAAGGAAAGCAGTTTGCAAATTGTGAAGGGCTATAGAACTGTGAACAACCATCATTATCTTAGGTAGGTCAAATATCATTATGCCCATTTCACAGATAAGGAAACTGAGGTTCTGAGCTGTAGTGATATGCCTCAGGTCATTTAGCAGGGAAGAGATAGAGCAGAAAGTCAGTTCTAAGTCCTTGTTATTCCAGATCCAGTCCCCCACCCCACCCCCACCATCTCTCGTCACTCCCACTCACCAAGTCTTCAGTTTTCCAAGCTCCCAAGCTTTGGTCTCAGACATATATATATACACATACACACACACATATATACACACATACATACATACACACACCAGAGGCATGATTATTAGTATCAGAACATATGCATCATTATTATTCATCCATATCTAATTAGATACACTATTGCTATACTTCTAAAGTAGCATCCTAGGGAAAGCCCTAGATTTGGATTTCAAATCCTGGGTCGACTTCTTATTATCAGTGCTACCTTAGGTAAAGCCTCTCTCCTTCTGGGGCTGCCTCAGTTTCCTCTTCCTGTAAAATGATGGTTTAATTGGATGACTTGTAAGGTCTCTTCCAGGACTTAATCTAGCCTGGAGAAGAAAGTCTAGAAGGACAGGAGAGCTGTCTTCAAAGACTGAAAAAGAACCCTGGAAGAAGGTTTCCACTGGCTCTGCATGGTCAGGACTGGCGGGAAGCTGCCCAGCCCCAGATTTGTAATGACAGACTTCTGAACTGTCCAGCAATGGGATAGGCTGGCTCAGGAGGCTGGGTATTCTATCCCAATAGAGGTCCTCAAGCATCGTGTGGATGACCAATCCATCAGCAAATAGCACTCTTTATTATATCTGGACACACGCTGCCTCCCTCCCAAGAGGTCAAGGAATATTTTGGATTCGCTTTCATGCTCCTAGTGTCTAACAGTGACACAAATGGTTTTCCCCCTGGATATGTGACTTTATCGATGTACAGAACCCCAAGTAGGGAAACTCCTTCTACCAATGAAGAGTCATGCCTGCTTTGCAGCCTAGATGCTTGAGAGGTTAAGGAGGTTTCCCCAGGTCAAACAATTTGTATACAAAGAGGGACCTGAACCCAGGCCTTCCTGACTCAGGTCTCGGTTCCCTAGCCACATAGTAGGTATTTAATAACCACTTGTAGAGGGAATGAACAGATGGCTAGATAGATGATGTAGAATGGGTCCTTGTTCAGATATCCCTTGGACTACAGTGCATTGGAGGACCCTGAATCTCAGAGCTTCTGTGAATCTATTATTAGACACTCACATCCAGTTATAATTAGGCACCAAGATACAAAGATGCACAATTATCATTATAGTCGCACCAACACAGCCACACAGCTGGTGTTCACACACACACACACACACACACACACACACACACACACACACACACACAC